TACTCCAGATTAGCCAGAGGGATCTACTCCAGATTACCCAGAGGGACCTACTCCAGATTACCCAGAGGGATCTACTCCAGATTACCCAGAGGGATCTACTCCAGATTACCCAGAGGGATCTACTCCAGATTACCCAGAGGGATCTACTCCAGATGACAGAGTGATCTACTCCAGAGGATCCAGTGGGATCTACTCTAGAGGGATCTACTCCAGAGGAGCTCCCAGCACTGAAGGACGGCGTTGCGATGATTCATCTACCTTCCACGTGTGATGCTCGTAGTGCTTTGTGTCCAGGAATTCCTCAAACGTCAGTTCTGTCCGTTCTCTCTTGTTGTCGTGTTCCTTGTTCAGAGACACCAGGTGACATTTGTTGAAGGTGTCGATCTCCGTCAGAGCGTTCATCAGCTTCCTCTGGAACGTCTCTGCCAGGGACCGTGTGGTGACCAGCTTCTGCACCTCCAGCACTGAACAGGAATGATGAGGAAGACCAGGAAGGAAACCCGGGAGGAAGCACCGAGCTGCACTCACCTTGCATCCTGCGCTCAAACTCGCCGCCGAGCCTCATCAGCTCCCTCTGGTGGTTCTGGGGAGGAAGAGCAGGCATGAGACGGAAGCCAAAGCTTGAAGCAGGAGCAGAGGATTGTCTCCTCACCAGCTTCAGCATCTTGATGGAGCTGTGCTCCTGGAGCCTCTTCTCCCTGTTGTCCATCTGCAGATTCCGGAGCTGCCGCCGCAGATCCAGCTCCAAGTCCGTGTTCTGCTTCTGCTGGAGCGAGCGAGACGTGACGGCGTCCGTCTTCACCTCAGAGACGGCGTTGTGTTGCTCGGACAGGACGTGCTTCATCTTCTGCTTGTAGACCTGAAAACCCGACAGAATCAGGATCGGACCGGATCGGACCGGGAGAACAGCAGGACCACCCCACAGGGACAGTGGAGGACTCACAGTCATCTCCTCTCGGTGTCTCTCATCGACCTCTGACCTCTCTGCGGTCGTATTCCTCAGCTGGACCTCGGACTCCTCGAGGTTCTTCTTGGTCGTCTCCCAGACGGTCTGGGTTTTGTCCCGCTCCGGCTGGAAGAGGCCCTTCTCCTTCCGCACCGTTTCCAGCTCCTCCTGGATGCGGAGGGCGAAATCCCACAACTGCAACACATTGCAGAAAATCAGGGCGGGATTAACCAGGGATTAATGCAGAGGAATTAATCTGGTTTTAATCTGGACTTTAACGACACCAGATTAAAACCAGTCAAACCAACCCGGTTCATTCAAACCGACCCGGTTATAAATGGAAAAGTAAGTAAGGCCTTCAGCCAATCAGCACCAAGGAAAGTGAATGGCGCTCATGGATTGGCTGCTTTTCAAATGCCAGCCAATAGCGTGTCAGATGCCATCACGGTCAGAAGCAGGAAATAATCACATTTTTATCCAATAGTCTGGAGTCGCGCTCCACAGACGAACCGTGAACAGGCGACAGTCCACTGTATGGTTTTAGGAAAAGGTAAACTATTATCTGACTTTAGTGGTATCACGTTTCAAACGTGTCTGAAAACAGCAAAACGTGTAGAAATGTACTGCTTTGAAAAATGAGCCTGCTGCTGTCTGGTGGGTAAAGATGGTCCCGGCAGAGCGGCGCATCCCTGGAGCTCCTTGATTTAACAAAACAACTTCCTCACAGGAAGCTCAGCATGTTCTGTAGTTCTACCTGAACACAGTTTTAAAATTTTAGCTCCTGCACCAGTAACATGTTTGTTTGGCCGGGTTGTACCGGTTCCATCAGGTCCAAACTGCGTAAACACCAGCTAGCCTCGTTAGCATCAGCAGGAAGTTCTACCTGATCCTTGGTCATTTCTTGTATGGGCGCAGAGTCCAGCAGCATGAAGGGGTTCACCTTCCCGGCTTTCCCCTTTTTGCCCTTTTTGCCTTTCTTTGGAGGCTGAAGAAGCAAACACAATTTGAGCGGCTGATGCTAAGCTAACATGCTAACAAGACATAATTCAGAGTCTAACAATTAATAAATGATGCTCATAATACTACTGAACATTATGATGTAGTTACCAGTAAAGTGTAAACATTTTCTCACCATTGTGGTTCACTAATCAGCTTCTCCCAGCAGAAGAAAATATAAAAACTGGATTTGATAGGAAACGTAAGTTTAACTGTTTCTGTTGAAACAAACGGAATGTGCTGCCATGGCAACAGGATTACAGGTCCAAAGAAATTTAAAACATGCGTTTACCGTACAGTACTCTGAAATACAACCAACAGGACATATTTAGAAAAAATGTCTTTATTATAAGGTCTTACAGTTTTGTAGAGAAAATACATTTGGTTCAGTGGATTTGATTGTTTTCCTGTAATAATATAATTACAGCATATTGCTTGTATTTTGTGTTATTCTGTGGTTGAGAGCGACATCTTTTACACTGTCATCTGTTGGGGCAGCAGCATCAGAACCAGGGATTTAAAAAGGTTCAACAGTCTGATAAAGATGGCTGGTTCTGTTCTGGTTCTGTCCTGGTTCTGTTTGGGGGATGGTGCAAAGGGGGATTCTTCAAAACCTTTGACTATCCTGTTCATGAGACTGTACTGGGAAAACAGAGTGTCTTCAGTCAGAGGCTTCTTCAGATTCACTGTAATACAGACTGCTGCAGGAGATCTTTCCTGCCAACAGCATCGACAATAATTTTTTAGAAGAATCTGAATTAATGAGCTACAACATTTAATGTCCCTTTGCGCTCAGTAAAGTATGTTTGGATTAGAATTGGGTGATTCTTTTTTTGCGGCAACATTTTGGCTTCAGGACATTTGAAAAAAAAAAGTATTAATGTTTTAAGTTATAAATATTGTGTTACAACACTGACATGTTTAACAATAAGAAATTAACAATGGGCAAGCAGCTCAGGACTGGATAAATTAATAATTACAGGTGTTTTTTTCACCATTGTCTCTGAATGTGTTCCACTCTGTTATGAACATTTACATGTAGACCACAAATAGTTGAACATGTAAATTTAGAAAAATAATGACTTTTTCTTAAAAAGAGTGTGTCCCTTTTACTATATATTTTATTTTTGAAATTGTAACACATCATGTAGTTACGAATCATTTATGTCTTTATTGTAAAGAAAAAAATGTTTTTTTTTACTCATTATTACTGTCAGCATTGAAAATATTGGTAATTTTAAAAATTTATATCAATATGTGCATTTATTGGTCTTCAATTCCCAACATGGCACAGAAAAATTCACAGTTCTTAATGTTTCTGTAACAATATTTAATAAAAATGTGTGGAATGGAACATCACACCCCGTTATTGTCCCACAACAGGGTGGAAAATCAATGTCTGATTCTAAAATCTGACGATTTTCATCATTGGTTGCAGGATTGCCTCTTTCAAGTCAAAGTATAGGCAGAGTATTTGTCCTGGCTCTATTTGGGAAAACAGGTGACATCCCTGTAGTGGATTTTCCCCTGACAGGTACTCATTGTTCCCCTCACAGGAGTCAATGGGGGCAACTAGTGAAATGAAAACAGACAAATGGCAAAGACATCTGATAATACCTCAGACTACTCTGCAACTCTATTCCATCATCTGACATTTTTTATTTTACTTAAAATGATGACTTTTCACCCTAATTTCCACCCATAACAGGGTGGAACTTTTCTAACTAATCTAGTTAGCTAAACTAACATTTAGCTAGTTGTTCACCACAACTAGCTAAATGTGGTGAACATTTAGCTAGCTAACCTTCAACAGAATAACAAACCTTTAATGACTAAATCTAATATAATGTTTTTTAAATTATACTGAATAAACATTTTCACAATCCATCCTAACAGGGTGAAACTTTAAGCTTTACTCATCCAGATTTAACATATTTAAGATAAGAAAAAGTACAGAGATGGTGACAGTTGAAGCTTACTTTGTTTTCATGGTTGAATTTACTTCAAAACCTTTGATGTCACTTCCATTAAATGGTTTTTATGGAATTTTAGACTTTTTGAAGGCAAAAAGGAAACATCCTAACGGTGGAAAGTTAGTACTGGGACATGTAGAATATGAAGAAAATATCAAATGAGAAAAATAGTTTCAACAGATTCAATTGCATATTAAATTAATGTTTAGTCCAGTCAATCAACTTATTGAAGAAAAACATAAAAAATATATATATTTTATAGTTTAAACTTCATGAAGAAGTCTATTACATTGCACTGGGGAGACAATGAAATTGAGCATGTTGGTCACCAAAAAGGTGTGTAAAGAACAAAATAATATTTAAAAGGCATTTCATTTATATTTGAATAATGGAAAACATCTAAATGGATCGTTAAAACACTTTGTTGTAAATATTTGGCCCATTTTACAAAAAATAATTGTAAGCCAAACATGGGGACATGGAATGTTGCCGCAAAAAATCATTTTGTAAGCGGCACAAAAGGAGCCTCCAGTGCGCGGTGCTCCAGTAGGGGGCAGTAAAGCGCCCATCGCGTCAGTAAAGAAGAGTTGGTCTCTGATTGGTTGGAGTTGATGCGGCGTAAACAAAAGCTGAGCCTAAACTCTGCTCGGCCGCTGATGGGGGCTTTAGGTTAGAGGTCAAAGGTTAAAGGTTAAGGAATGTTGATCCTTCGGGGAGCCTCTGCTCCTCTGCTTTAGCTCCGGTTTTCACAGTCCACGTCATGTTTTAGGCTCCGATGCTGGGATGCTAATGTGGCTAAAGCTAGCTCAGAGCTAAAGTCCGGTAGTTTTTAAATGGAGTTCGGTTCGGTTCGGGAACTGATCCAAGTTTAAACAGCGGTTGAGTTCGGGCTTTGGAGCCGCCATGAGCCGTTCCCCGGTGTGACTGAAGGGGGAGGATGGCAGCAGAGCTGTTCCCCGCCAAGAAGCTGGTGTCTTCGGCCTCAAGCAGCAGCAGCAGCTCCGCCGCTTCGCTCCAGCAGCAGAACCTGAGCAACAACAACCCGGCCCCGGGCGGCTGCAGCTGGCAGGGCCTGTACCCCACCATCCGGGAGAGGTGAGAGCGGCCCGGCTCCCAGGCAGCCTGGGCTCCGGACCCATTTATCAGGACTAGATAAAGTCATCCGGTCGGTTCCGGCTCCCAGTTCGGTCCTGGTCCGTTCAGAACCGAACTGACTCCAGTTCACCAGGTCAGAAAGTCATCATCAAAATTTGGTCTAGTTTACATGGAACTCCAAAATGCTCAAAATTAAACGAATAAAACATTAGAAAATAAATAAATGGTGAAATAACTGAAGGCAAAGAAAGTTTTATTCATTATTATGAAACGTTTTTCATTCTGCTTTATTTGTAAAGTTTTGACCTGCTCATAAATGGTTCTGTCACAGTAACAAATTTGTCTGGACGATAAAATGTCCAGACAAATTGAAGTTTTGCAACAAACAATAATAATGTTGTTTTGAGACCATTTTCTTAATGCAGGATCACAATAAGCTTTAAATTCTAATCAACATTTAACTGTGGAACCAGAAGACATTTTAAATATCCAAAACAAATAAGCAAAACAACAGAAATGACAAATAAAATGAATTGTCACCAAACTGAAACTTCTGTCATCCAGTTTTTGGCAGAAAGAGAAAAACAATAAATCATGCAGTTAGAAATTATTCAGTTTGTTTTAATTTATTGTAGCGTTTGCAGCTTCAGCTACGGCCAATTTCACTTCAGGAAGATTAAATAAGAATATTTATGGAAATCTGTGATAAATGGTTATTATTCATGTGAAGAGGAGATGAAACCTCTGAGCTGGAAAATCAGATTTTATCATGTTAAAATCAAAACAAAGATAATGTGGAGATGAAATTTCAGACTTCTGCATTAGTAATTATCATTAATAAATGTTGACACTCCATGATTTACACAAGCAGCTTTTTACCATGAACTTCATGTCCGTTTAATAGATCAGGTCTGGAATCTGCTGCTTGTTTTCACCTGAAATTTAAATTTTCTTTAAATCTCTGATTTTTATTTTATCCTGATCCTAGAAATGATAAACACAGAGGTTTACCTCCTTCTACCAAACCAACCAACCAGGCCTAAAGACGTCAGTTTTCTGGATTTTAATTGAACTTGGATGAAATTCAGTGAAAATAAAAACCTTAAAATCTGGGTTTGTTTCCTTCATTTCTGTGACACGTCGTCAGTTTTGGTTCATATTTCTGTCTGCAGGAATTCAGTCATGTTCAACAACGAGATGATGGCGGACGTTCACTTCGTGGTCGGACCGCCGGGCGGGACTCAGAGGGTTCCTGGACACAAGGTAGAGTCCGACAGCTTCTAGGACGAGCTCTCTAGAGATAGATGTATAGAAACAGATCTGCTCCAGAGCTGGATCTCATGTTTAATGTTTAGGGTACGTAAGCTGCTTCTTCATCAGAGGAGCTCGTCTTCGTGAAGTTTGGCTTTAAACCAGAATTAATATTATTATTAATATTAATATTATTATTCTGTTACAGCCGTTTCCTGTAGGGGGCGACTCGTTATGTCTAAAGCAGAATCTTTTAGAAACCAGGTTCTGTTGGCTGGTGCTAGTGGTCCAGTTTGGGCCTTCTGACCCGGTTCCGGTTCTGCTGTTCCTCTCGGCAGTACGTCCTGGCCGTGGGCAGCTCCGTGTTTCATGCCATGTTTTACGGCGAGCTGGCCGAGGACACGGAGGAGATCCGGATCCCGGACGTGGAGCCGCCGTCCTTCCTGGCCATGCTGAAGTAGGTCCGGCTGTCCGTTCGGACCTCAGAACCAGAACCGGTCTGCTAACCCGGCCTCTCCTCCACAGGTACATCTACTGCGACGAGATCGACCTGTGCGCCGACACGGTGCTCGCCACCCTCTACGCCGCCAAGAAGTACATCGTGCCCCACCTGGCGCGGGCCTGCGTCAACTTCCTGGAGACGAGCCTGAGCGCCAAGAATGCGTGCGTGCTTCTGTCGCAGAGCTGCCTGTTCGAGGAGCCGGACCTGACGCAGCGCTGCTGGGAGGTCATCGACGCGCAGGCCGAGCTAGCGCTGCGCTCCGAGGGCTTCTGCGACATCGACACGCAGACGCTGGAGAGCATCCTGCGGCGGGAGACGCTCAACGCCAAGGAGATGGTCGTGTTCGAGGCGGCGCTGAGCTGGGCCGAGGCCGAGTGCCAGCGCCGCGACCTGCCGCCCTCCATCGACAACAAGCGGCTGGTGCTGGGCAAGGCCATCTACCTGATCCGCATCCCCGCCATGGCGCTGGAGGACTTCGCCAACGGCGCGGCGCAGTCCGGCGTGCTGACGCTCAACGAGACCAACGACATCTTCCTGTGGTTCACGGCGTCTCGCAAGCCGGAGCTGCTGTTCTGCACCAAGCCGCGGAAGGGGCTGGCGCCGCAGCGCTGCCACCGCTTCCAGTCCTGCGCCTACCGCAGCAACCAGTGGCGCTACCGCGGCCGCTGCGACAGCATCCAGTTCGCCGTGGACCGCCGCGTCTTCATCGCCGGCTTCGGCCTGTACGGCTCCAGCTGCGGCTCGGCCGAGTACAGCGCCAAGATGGAGCTGAAGCGGCAGGGCGTGCCCATGGCGCAGCGCGTCATCAAGTTCTTCTCCGACGGCTCCAGCAGCACCTTCCCGGTCTGGTTCGACTACCCGGTCCAGATCGAGCCCGACACCTTCTACACGGCCAGCGTGGTTCTGGACGGCAACGAGCTCAGCTACTTTGGCCAGGAGGGCATGACGGAGGTCCAGAGCGGAAAGGTCACCTTCCAGTTCCAGTGCTCCTCCGACAGCACCAACGGGACCGGGGTCCAGGGCGGCCAGATCCCAGAACTCATCTTCTACGCCTGATCCGGGCCGAGTCGGGTCGCGGCCGGAAGCCGGGGGACTACTTCCAGTGGCGGATGAATACACTAACGGTCTGATACCTGGTGACCCCCCACCACCACATCAGACAAGATGGAGGCAAACTTGATCCTTGTTTTCATCTGTTTGTGGCGCCATTATTTGAAACATCATGAAAGTTTCCAGAGGTCATGAAAGGTCAACCCCCCCTTCACCCCCACCGTATCGTTTGTGCTGCTTTTGCTTTGGGACGTTGATGACCTCTGACCTCTTTATTATCTTCTATTGGCGGCTCAGGTGAAG